ATTCTGAAATTCAAAATTCTTCTATTTCTTCAGATTCTTTCAAAGCCTTATGTCATTCCATAGAAGTCCAGGTTCCATATGTAGAGAATTTTTCTTTGGATGCAGGTATTTTAAATCAGATTAATTCTCCTACAGGTAATTTTCAGTTTCAGGCAATCAACTGGGAGACATCTCAACAAAAAGACCCTATACTGAGGAATTGGATACAACATGTAAGATCAGGAAGGAAGCCAAGAATGGATGAACTACCACCTACTCATCATTCTTTAGCGTTAATTAGAAACTTTAATTCTTTTATTATAGAAGATGGTTACAATGTTAAGAAACAAATGTATTTTAAAATATTTTTATGCAAAACATAGTTCTGAAAAATAAGCTGAACAAGTAAATTCTGATCCAGAAAATATACGTTTAGCATACTAGTAATTGTATGCAGTCAATAGTGTATCATCTTTAGAAAAAAACTTTACCTTCCATCCTTCTCGGTCTTTGATGCGGAATTGACGTAATTTTTAGCGTCTCCTAAATTTATAGTAGTGGGCGAGTCCACTGTGGAGGGGTGTCAGGATATTTTTTATGATGTTCTTATCATTATGTTAAGAGACAAACATATTTAAAAAAATATTTTTAAGCAAAACATAGTTCTGCAAAATTATGCAAAACATAGTTCTGCAAAATTAACTGGACTAGTAAATTCTGATTAAAAAAAAATACGTTTAGCTTATTATTAATTGTATACAGTCAAAAATGCATCTTTTAAAAAAAAAAACATTACTTTCCCTCCTTGTCGGTCGTTGATACGGAATTGACGTAATTTTCAGCGTCTCTTATGTAGCAACACATGGACATTATGGGAGACGGGGGTATCATTTAGTAAGCTCATTGCTCACAGTACCTCTATTTTTTCCTTACATACGAATCAGAGAAATATATATTTTATGTTTTCTTTTCCCTCTGAAATGATTTTAAAAAATCATGCTAAAACAACATAATCAGATAGATGCATTTAAGGTTAAATTTAAAAAAAAGGATTCTAACTGATATTGAATAATGAATATAGTTACTTACATTTTCTTTCATTACATGTAATTAGTGTCACTCTAATTTACATTTATACTTTCTTTCTTTTAGTAAATTCATTGAAATAAACGAAGAAATTCTGGCAGTCACACCAGAGCAACTTGACGTTCTCTTCCCAACGAAGACCTTCAGGCCACTGACAGTCAGTGGTCTGAAAAGACAATCAAAAGTCTGCGAGATGTAAGTAAAAACATATTAAAGTACCACAATACTTTTTGATTCTCTAAATAAAGCTGATTTTACATTTCTCCTTTTTATTTATTAATATCGATACGAATTTTGAATTAACTTGTTAAATCGTACTATATATATTTCTTTTTCTTTTTCAGAACGTTCAGAAGAGAAAGAAAGTTGAGTGAATGCTAGTTGATTGAAAGAATAATTGTATAAAAAATATTGATTGATGTATTTGAATGAAAGTTGATTAAAGCACATTGATCTCTCATTGACCCTACCCCTTTCTCAAAATTCTATTTCTATGTAATTTTTATAAACAATTCATAATAATTATTTATCCCAAGTAGAATCCTCTAAATCTAAAGATTAACAAATTATATTTACAATAAAATATTCGAATTTCTTTCTAAAATATATCAATAATATTATTACATTCATTATATTACTTCTTTTTTATGAAAATCACACTTTCCAGTCATTAAGGACGCTCTAAACACTGCACACTAAAGACCTCTATTTATTAGGTAGTTTTATTCAGTCAGATTGATTTATCCTTAGATATAAGATTAAAGAAATAGCTATTTACCGTTAATTACATAATCTATAATAGAGTGAAATAATTAAGCATTATATTAAACCAAGACTAAAAAAAATATTATTTTCCTTAATTTTCCCAATGTAAGTAAACAACACTGATTTGTGCTCACATATATTCCATTGTCTTTGAACATTTTTCCTGAGCAAATAAGGCACATACCCTATGTCCTAAATAAATGAAAAAGTTTCAGTATGCATATTTTTATAAGACACATTTTTTCTCTGAGTTAAAAAGTTTCTGATAGTGTTTAGAGCTTCTTTAGTTCCAGATAAAAATGCCGCCTATATAAATTTATTAAATAACGACTGTTCTATGAATTAAACATACAAAAATGTACATTTCAATGATATTTTAACTCACTTAATATTATTTTAAATTTTATGAAATTAGTAAATTATTTCTCGCTGTTTTTTAATGAGGGTATAAACGTTACAACTACTGTAAAAAAATACATTTTCCGCTTTTGCGATTTATATATATATCCCACAATACTAGTATTTACAACAATAAATTACATACTAACAACGATTTTATTGTTTTATTATTCTGTTGTGATTTATCCAGAGTAATGTGCTTTAATCTGTAATATATGCGTGCGAGTGTGACAAAAAAAATGTAAAATATTAATTTGATTAGAATAAATTTATATTGAATTCAACAATGATGTTATTTTATATATATTTAAAAAAAATCTGGATTTTTAAGATATTTCCATTCTCCTATGAAGTAAAAAATGTTACAAAAACTTTAAATGATTAAAATTTATATTAAGGAGGAATGCCACACCAAATTTTTATTATATAGATCTTCGAGTCAACCTTTTTCAACAATCGTTTCAGCATTGAAAGGCCGACATTAGCTCTCAATTATTTTATATGAATTTTTTTTGTACTTTTTTAAAGAAAATGAAAAAAAAAAAAATATTTCCATAAAAATACAACGTTTTCTTGTAAACATTTCCCTGTAAATAAATGCATCACATTCATATTTAATGAAACATGTAGGAAAGCCGTATAGATATTAATTTTTTTAAATAAAGAAATATTCATAAAAATAAATCACATAATTTGTGAACATTTCTAGGTCACCTGAGTAAACTCAGGTGACCTATTGCTTTCCGTTTTAGTCCGTCGTCGTTCGTCGTGTGTTACCATTTGAACATTTTCAGCTTCTTCTCTGCAAACACTCAACCAATTTTCACCAAATTTAGTATACAGCATCTCTGGGTGTAGGGGGAAAAAATTGTGAACCGGTCCCGCCCACTGTGGCCTGAGGGAGTTATAGATGTATTAAAGTGTCAGCCAATCAGATTGCACACACGTGCATTTATGTTTTCATGAACATTGCTATATATCACTGTAGGATTTCAATACAGATTTGGTCCTTTATTTTTTAAAATTTCAAAGGATGTTATAAATTAAGATATTCACCCTTTCGCTTTTATTGAAATTCTAGCGCACGTGGATGCGCGTAAAAACATGCAAATTTTTTCCATATATCTTCCTCTATACTAATTGTTACATTATGAGTTTCAAACCATTTTCAAAAAATAGAAAGGTTACAGCAAAAGACATCAACATTCAGTGAAATTTAACTGCTAAGAAAATACACAGCTCTTGCAAGCACGTGCGCCACAATTTTGGCAAATCTACATAACATCCCTAATTTACCTAAATGAATATTTTATTGTCGATTTCTCTACCAGAGAACTTTAATGATTTAGTTTACATTTTGTATGGCGATTATTCAAGCCAATTTCATGACCTTAATTGCGAGTTACTGAACTTTTAGGGCACTATAGAATTATCAAATTTTATTCTAAGGTCTTTCGAATATGAGGCTAAAATTTTTTTGTGAATTATAACAGTTATTTTAATGGATGCTTAATGGAAATAACCTCTTCTGAATAGTTCACTGGTTAACACTAACTCCCATGTAATGCAAAATGGATATAGCCTACAACATGATCATACAGATAATTATATCATACCATTCCTAAGTCAAATTATTTGTTTGCGTTAACACAAGTATTATGCCTTGTTCACACGGAGAGTGTACTAGTAATTAACTGCTTTTACAGTAAAGCAAAGGAAGAAGAAACTATAATGCAAATTTTTAAATCAAATTTGATGTTCATATGACAGCAAAAACGGATATAAAGTAATTTAATGTGAATAAAAATGCTTAATTTGGGGAAGAGCTGATCATGGAACTCAGAAGTATCTTTTAAAAGGAATATCACAAAAAAATTCTATTTCTAGTAACCATGGCAACACCATTCATCGAAATCAAAAACCCATGCACTAAATTAGGCATCTAAGTGTGTCAAGTTTTATTGAAATCAGACCAAATCTATAGGAGGAGTAGCATTTTCAAGGAATTTCAAAGAATTTTCTATTTTTAGTAACCATGGCAACACCGCTCACCGAAATCAAAAACTCGTGCGCTAAATTTTGCATCTAAGTGTAGTCTACTTGTCTGACAAATTTTATTGAAATCGGACCAAAACTGTAGATCGAAGGTCTCAGTAGCATTTTCCAAGGAATTTCACAGAAATTTCTATTTTTAGTAACCATGGTAACGTCATTCATCGAAATCAAAAACCCAAGCACTAAATTATGTATCTTAGTGTAGTCTACTTGTGTGCCAAGTTATATTGAAATCAGACCAAAACTGTAGGAGGAGTAGCATTTTGAAAAATTGTTAGAAGATAGACGGACAGACAGATGGACAGCGAGACAGACGCACACCTTACTATCACATAAGCTCTTCTGGTCTCTGACCAGTAGAGCTAAAAATTGAACTCATCTCCAAAGATTAAATAACACCCCCCCCCCCAAAAAAAAAACCCTTCGCTCCTTCAATAATTTCCAAGTGATTGAATTTCAAATGAGAAAATTTGATGAGATATTTAATAATCACAACTTGTAAGATGTATAGAATGATTAACAGAAAGTCGATATAGCAATTAACATTCAATACTTTGAATCAAAACATTAAGAAGATATGGTCATTATTCAACCTTGAATCTTTTAAATGTGAAATTTACAGCAATAATAAATGGTTCATATATTAAACTGTTTTAAAAAAAAATACATATTAGATGAACTGTACTTTAGAAAACAAAGAACAAAATTAAGGCACACCCAAAACACAGTTAGATAATAAAATAAAATAAAAATAAATAATTTCTGAGAAAATACAGATTAAAGGCTTTCATCTAACAACTTGCACTTATTAGAAAAGACATCTTTTAAGTCAACAAAAATACATATTTACATACAAAAGTATATCATGAATCTAATAGAAATAAAATCAAAAATGCACTCCAATACTTGTAAAATTATCACATTTCTTATAACAAATAAATAAAGTCTTGAAGGACGGAATATTTGTGGAATCTGTATGTACAAATTTTTTCAACTTTCACACTCATTGTGCAATATAAGCTAAGCACTCTTACAAACAAAAGTTCCATTTAAATGCTTTAGAGTTGTCTGCCCTTTAGTCATTCAGTTGACACAAGAGGGCAGCCCCTTTGGATATCCAGTAGTCTTGAGGCTGCTTAGAAGGCAGGTGAACAAACACCACAAAGTTAGTGGAATGTCCTACAAAAGAGTAACGAAAATTTTGTATTAAAAGTCACCATATGATTGCTGTAAAGTGACTTCAAATGTCTGAACACAGAGTTTGACTATATAGTTGTCAAAACACAGCCCTGAGCTCTGGGGCCTAAGAATATAGACAAGTACTCTAACCTGTTAAACATTCATTAACTGTATAATGCTTTACCTGTTGTGGGCAGGACTCCAGCCCTGGCTGAGGTCTTGTATAGTGGGGCGATGTAATCTGCCTCGTCAGGCACAAAGTCCATCTTAGGCTCCATGTGGAACATACACAGGGCCGAGTTCATTATGCCTTTAATGGAGTCTGTGACCACCATTTCCTTCTCATCCCAGCGGAACCCATCCATAAACATTCCATGGACCAGCACACCATCTTCAGGAGTGGGCAGCTGTAAGGAAAATAAAGATGTTGTGTAATAAGTAGGTTTTATTTAAACTTCAAATCTTCCTTTGGTTGAATATTCTGAAGCCTGTTTAATAGAGCAATAGGTATAAGGACTTTTGGTGAGGAGTTGCGAATGCTTGCTGTGTTGAACAGGTCTCTGTTTTTTCTAAGGAACTAGAACTGCCCAAATGGGACAAAATACCCCTTGCTGGGTTTTCAGAAGTAAGTTTTTCCATAATATTATGTATCAAACACAAATTATGAAATTTTTATTCCAGTCACCTTGAACTTCCCCAAATAACCTTGGGTCAAGGTCAAGGCACACCCTTGGGTCATGGGCAATCTTTGTTTGAAATGAGAACCTACCAAGTTAATCAATAAGAAAGATATGGACGGGACACAAATTATGAAATTTTTCTTCAAGTGACCTTGAACTTCCCCAAATGACCTTCAGTCAAGGTCATGACAAACCCTTGAGCAATCATGAGCAATCTAAGTGTGGAGTAGTAGATTCTAATGTCCCTCTGTAAGAAAGATAAGGACCGGACACAATTACACAGACAGACGGACGGACAGCTAGACAGACAGACAGACAAGATGGTTCCAATACCCCCCAAACTTCATTTGCGGGGGTATAACTATAAATTTTATTTTCTTCAAAATTCTGAGTTTCAGTATGGTCAATTTCACTATGGTCAATACAACACTCCTTACTTCTTTGTCTAGCTCGTTACTTTGACCCTTCATGCGCCATAGTCCTTTGCTGTTGCTGTCTTTGTTTTTCTAGTTGAGCTCTTCTCTGTAAAAGCCAGGCATTTCTTTTCCGAAGCTTTAATTCTTGCTCTTTTTTTCTCAGCAAGAATTTGATCCAATTCTCTCTTTCGTAGTTGTCGTTGTTGTTGTTGTTGTTCTTGTAGAGCTCTTCTGTGTAATCTTTCCGCATTTCTTTTCCTAAGCTCCAATTCTCGATTTTTATTTTCATAAAGAATTCGATCTAATTCTCTCTCCCTTTTTTCCATTCTAATAATCGCTGAGCATGTAACTGTTTTTCTCTTGTAGAATCCATGACCCCAGTGGGAGCTGGCTCTGACAGTAGAATGAGCCGAAAGTCGGAGAGAAGCCGTATTTATACAGTGGATGACGTCACAACGCATAGGTAAGTCTATGGTATGTTTTGCACACGGCCCCCTTACAGATGAAGCAACAGGTATAAAAAAAGATGATGCAACAGGTATAAAAAGATGATCAATGCAACAGCTATAAAAAAGATGATGCAACAGGTATAAAAAGATGATGCAACAGCTATAAAAAGATGATGCAACAGGTATAAAAAAGATGATGCAACAGGTATAAAAAGATGATGCAACAGGTCGTAGTAGCAGCGTATATAGTATAATGTAAACACAGTATAAACACACCCCCGTATTAAGGGGGCTATATGTACTGTATTGAACCACTTATCCCCCCCCCCCCAAGGACTGTTCTGAGTTGACCCGGCTATCCCACAGACCCCCCTAATCTGCACTCTCTTGACCCGGCTATCCCCCAGACACCCAATCTGCACTCCCTTGACCCACCTATCCCCCTCAGCCCCAAGAGTGCACTCAGTTGACCTCGCCGGCCAGGCTTCTTATACTACTAACGACCATCTTTGCTAACCAGGGGTTTCTCACACACTTCTTTCCTCATAAACTGTAGCTAGAAACCCTTGGCCAACGAAGATGACAACCAACCGGATTTGCAAACCTTACGGCTAGCTATTGAACTGTATCCGTCCGAAGACGTGAGAGCTTATTGTGCACAAAAGTATGCTGCTTCTCTGTTTCAAACTGTCATATTCTAAAAACATTTTTAACTTGGTGTTCCCAATAAATTCCTATACAATTTCAACCTACTATTTCCACAACAAACAACTGTTGTAAATAACCCTCCATGAAATTGAGGCCATCCAATTTCGCATTTTTACTGTCAATTTTAAGAGGACAAGAGACAAATCTTTTCAATTGCAACACGCATCGTGGAAAAGTCTAGAGATTATTACATTTTTTAGCTTTTGTGCAGTTGAGATAAGAATCTGGAGGAATTAATCCAGTACCAATCGCAGCTTTTGTGTGCCATTTTTTAACAGATTTTTGTCTGGGGGTGCCACTGTAGCACTTCGGTCGTCTATCTCATTTTTTCTCAGACTAGCGAGTTACAGAAATGCAGCTTCCCTACGGCTACAAAAAGTTTTGGGGGGAAGCATGTCTACATAAAGAAATATATAAACATGAATCAAAACTAAAGCAAAAGACTATTTTCAGAAAATAAAGTGCACCCCAACTTGCATATAACGTGCCCGAGATGTTACTGGATAAATGTAGACTACATGCAACACAATTATAAGGATGCTTACATCGTGCTTTGAATAAATTGCAAGGATATTACCATTATACATTCATTTACTGCTTCAAAAAGTTTGATCGCTTAATCATCTCATTCGTATATGTATACCTGGTGCAGTTTTAAATTATTTAGTGGCATCATCTAGCTAATTAATACCATATCACTCTATTTAAAAGTACAAAAAGAATATAACCAAAAACACAATATCCGTAAGAAGAATTGATGGAACATTTCGCATTGCTCCAAGAAATGGTCAGCAAGGACTATAAACTACAAAAACTATCATTCTTTTCATGCAGTTTTGAAATATTTAATAATATTCACGTTAATTAACATAAACCAACAGTCTCCGAGACGTAAACCAGTTGTCACATTTACAGAAATAAAAAGTCGCCTGGGTCAAAATTTTACAGAAACCAATTGTAGCACCTACAAAATAAATTTGCTAGTTATTGACTTATTACAGGAAAATAATTCATTTAAAGGACATTGTCTGAAACTAGGGCATTAAATAAAGTTTAATCAAAGTTAAATTACCCACTTAGCTGTCCAATCAGTCCTGTAGCATTTTATGCATCATTTTAATGCGAGTACATGAAAAACACGATCTTAACAGTCGTTTACATGTAATGTTACGATATTGAGCACTTTTTTGGTTTAAAAGCAATACAATCGCTTAACTTTTTTTTTATAATTTTGCTTTCTAGAAAGTGATTTTTATTGTTTCATATCAAAAAAATATGTATGAAGCTAGACAATTCGCAGGTGCCAATAGTAGCTTGTGTCCGAAACCAAGATTTTCTCGATTCGCACTTTACCAGCAGTGAGACTAGGACCATCCCCACACGTTTTCTCCTCAAACTTATTATTGATGATTGGGCTGAAATAAGAAAATCACTAAATGTAGAGCTTTTTACAAGAAGTAAAAAAAAATCACTTCCTCACCCTGTTGTTCGTGATCCTGCAGCTAAAATAGGAAATCATTAAATGTAGTTACAAAAAGGCTAAAAATATTCTCATGAAACCTTTTGTTGATGATCGGGCTAACAGAGGGAAATGATTAATTGTAGTCATCATAAAAAAGTCTAAAGACAACTTTTCCTGAAATTTATTGTAGTTGATGATTGAGCTGAAATAATGAAACATACAAGTCAACATAATTGAACATCTTTTCATAATTTTGAAATTTTTGGAATGACAAAAGGTAATATTAATGTATTAAAATTGTTCAACATATCATTTTCCTCAATTTTCATGCATTTGAAATACATTCTGTATAACGAAATATTAATTAATACGTAATTTTTAGGTAACATATGAATTGGTTTCTCAAAAAATTCATTGTTGATTTTTGTTGCACCTTGGTCAACAATGGTTTTCAGGGGATAACAATTTCACATGTTACCCTAAAAACCAAGTTATATTTTTCTAACATTGACTTGCTGAGTGAAGGCATCAAAGTAGTTGTCAGGTACCAGGTTCTGTACTGACAGCACAGCATCCTGTAACTTTCTGATGACCTCTGCCAAACCTTCCTGGAATTCGTTTAATTCCGGCGCAAACAACAGCTGATTAATAGCCATTCTCTGTAAGCATTTAAACTCTTATATAGGGAGTGTGGCACGCATGGTCTTGGATTTTTACGAAACTTGGCATACATTCCTATATTGATGTATGTAACTAAAATTCATAATAAAATGGTTGCTATGGTCGATGGTTACCATGGCAACCAACATACATTTTTCATGGCCTAATAGTCGCTAAATTTTGATGAAAAATGACACTTTTTTGACTTATTAAAAGTATTCAATGGAAAAAGCTATTAACGTGTTTTTACCTTTTTGCCAAAATACATCATTTTACAGTGCTTTAGAAAAAAATTTGTATTTCAGTAACTTTACCTCATAGAAAAAATACGCCTCGTTTATAGGTAGGATTTTTCTTGGGGAAAATTATATATTTTAGGCTCTTTTGAAAAGCCTGATATAAATTTTTGCGGAAAGTTGGGAAAAAATGAATACATGGGTTTGAAAGTCCATATATAGTTCTAATATAAACTACAAAGAACTACTTGGTTTTTATATTTAGATATATGGTAAACCAGAGCAAAAACAAAGAGAAAAAAAATCAATTTTCATTACTAAGGGTCAAAGGTCACGGTCAAGATGGCAGATTTAGATAGATATTTAAGGAAACTAAACAACATTTTTCTGTGTCTTAACTTATACTTGTGTTTTAAACAACAAATGTAGAAACAAAATTACACTTCTGGCTAACAATAACTAGCATCATATGAATGTGTGCCCATACAAACAGAAGGTCAAAGCTCAAGGTCACAGTGGTATTAAAGAACTATGCACGCTAAATCTCAATTCCCGCCTACATTTTGCGACTTTTTTATTCAATATAAATGGCCATAAAGTCTTTGTTTTATACAAAATCCAGTGCAAATTTAGCCATAAAATCTTTTGTTTTATACAAAAAACAGTGCAATGGTATTTGATTCATTATCTTAATACCAGTCCTAAACAGTACTTTATCCCTTTTTCCGATTTCTGAGATAAAAGGAAGGGGGGGGGGTCGATGATATTTTCCATTGAAATCGGACTTTCAAGCATC